TTTGTAATTGTAAAACTAAAAGATATACAATTCTGTAGTCCCTCTTTTTACAAATGCTATTTCAGAATATGTGTAACCTGTAATCTATTGTTTTGAGCAATAATTAATAAAACTTGAATACCAATATAAGTGCTTGGATCTATCGCACGGAAAACAATATTAGTGTATTTCTCATCGACAGTATTTATATACCGTTGTGTTTTTTTATTTGCTAACATATAATTAGAAAAGTAACGTTCAAATGTTTAGTGGAGACTATCTCAATGCCTAGAACAAATGTTTATTAAAAGAGCATGGGGAACATGCATGGAATTAAGAGAACTTGGGTAACCGTATTCAATCCGAGACTAAATAAGAAAGAAAGAAAGGCTACTTGCTTCTAATGTATATCGTTCTCCTGCAGGCAATTCCAGGGGTCCCAAAAATCACAGAAGGATATAACCCAGCAACATGGATGCTTGAAGTTAGCTCTTCTCTAGCTGAGGCTCGTCTGGACATAGACTTTGCTGAAGTTTATGCCAATTCTGCACTTTACCGGTAAATATGTGCGCAATATTATTCAAATATTTAGTAGTACAATTTTTGTTGCTTTGACAGTTGTGATTAATTTCTTCCAATGGTCAAACAGACAAAATAAGTATCTTTTCTATAGCTCTTACATTATTTCCGTCAATGTGTTCAGGAGCAATCAAGAACTTATTAAGCAGCTGAGTGTTCCACCTCCAGGCTTCCAGGATCTCTCATTTCCTACCAAATATTCCCAGAATTTCCTAAATCAGTGTGTGGCAAATACATGGAAGCAATTTCAATCTTATTGGAAGGATCCACCCTACAATGCTATGCGTTATGTTATGACGCTTCTCTATGGTCTTGTGTTTGGTACTGTCTTTTGGCGGAGGGGAAAGAATATGTATGTTCCTTCTTCTTGTTCTAATTTATATTCAAATTCTACCCATTCGCCTATTCTTATTGCAACCATTTCACTGAATGTAGTTTCACAGTGACACAACTCTATTGCCTCTTAGCTGATCATTTGAATTCTTTCCTATATGTACAGAGAGTCCGTGAATGATCTGAACAATCTACTTGGAGCCACCTATGCTGCTGTTTTCTTCCTTGGAGCAGCAAATTTGCTCACACTTTTGCCTGTGGTGTCAGTTGAGAGGACAGTCTTTTACCGTGAAAAGGCAGCAGGGATGTACTCTCCACTGTCTTATGCGTTTGCACAAGTAAGTTCTGAACACCCTTACAAGATATGCTTATGCATTTACCGATGTACGATGAACAAGGTATATATGAGCCTTCCTCCAGCTAGAACCTCCCAATTCAAAGCAGGCCAAAAAGAATGTTTTTTTTTTTTTGAAATGATGCCAAAAAGAATGTTAAGCAGCAGAGGACAAGTCGCTTCCCTTCTCGTATTTGACATAGTAGGATAAGGAGGCATGTTGAAAGAATGTCATAAGGAGACATTTAAGAGATTGGATTTGATTGTCTGTCATCACAAATGCATTTGCGTTGGCCCTAAATATATGTGTACATCAGCATAATCTGGATTGTGAGGAAAAACTCCCAATAGTCTGATTTCAAGAGTAGAAGGGGCTCGGTATCCGGATTCATAGTTTAGGGTGGGTGGTGGACTTTAGTGATATTCAACACAGCTAGTATTCACACCTCTGGTTTTTGTAGCTGGACCTTTTATTTAGGCGAACTTTTAGAGTATGCGCAGGATGCATTTCATTGTTTACATGTCAACTGAAGTCTTAAAAATACCAAAATATCTACTGAAGCTTCTCCCAAAAACTGAATGATGTGCACAGGGATTTGTCGAGTTCTGCTACAGTGCAGTTCAAGGTGTTCTTTACACTATCCTCATCTATTCCATGATTGGCTATGAGTGGAAGGCGGACAAGTTCTTCTACTTCCTGTTCTTTATGATTGCGGCCTTCGCCTACTTCACATTGTTTAGCATGATGCTGGTTGCGTGCACTGCTTCGGAAATGCTTGCGGCCGTTCTTGTTTCATTTGTGCTCTCCTCGTGGAACAATTTTGCCGGATTCATTATACCCCGTCCAGTAAGTGCTTTCAATAAGAAGTGATGCTATCGGACTTACATTATCTAGGCTCTCAGCTTGTCATACATCTCTGAAATATTTTCTCTTGCAGCTGATTCCTGTTTGGTGGAGATGGTTCTATTGGGCCAACCCGGTCTCCTGGACCATCTATGGAGTGATTGCGTCGCAGTTTGCGGACAGCGACCGTGTTGTCACCGTTCCTGGCCAATCTACCACCATGGTGGTGAAGGATTTCTTGGAGAAGAACATGGGCTTTAAGCACGACTTCCTCGGCTACGTTGTGCTGGCTCATTTCGGCTACGTCATCATCTTCTTCTTCCTCTTTGGATACGGCATCAAGTGCTTGAACTTCCAGAAACGGTAGGAGGCCGGTGTCCAGCAGGATGTCAATCCGAGGTCACGTTTTTGGAGTGTAAAGCAAATGTAGCAACTTAATACCGATGCTTTTTTTGTGTAGATATATAGTCTGTTCGATATCTGCTAGCTTGTATTGACACTTAATGTACAACATTATTTACTCAAATGTTCTGAGTTTATGGTATATTATTCTTTTTCTATGTTATCGCCATCTTGCCATTTTGCTTTCCTTATTCCTTGTGAAGTTCTGCATGATCCACTAACAACCGGATATATTGGTACACTTGGAAGTTGTCCCGCTTTGCCATGCCTGTTGTATAAACTGAGAATTGTACTTGAAATTTCGCAAGAAGATATATGTCTATTACATAAAGTGTTTTTTATTTTGTAACTCTTTTGATTGGTATTTGAGAAGTGGGAAGCAAACAAAGTGTGCATGCACTCGAGTTGTAAAAATCCACCAACTCCCTAAGGTTTGAAGTGTGCAGGTCATCAGGCTAAGAAAGTGTGACTAGACATGACTAAACCTTTGCATGTCTAGGTTAGACACGAACCAAATGGCCATTGTATTTTTTTTTTTGAAAAAAAAAAGACCTTTGTATTGTATGTTAGCGACAACAGTAGGGAACCTCTGTAGCTTATTACAATTTAGATACCTGTTCATCAGCCATGGATGGATGGATTATCAACAGGAGTCCCACAAGGATTGAGTAGCCTAATTTAACTGAAGCAAGACACTGTACATGGTGCCAAATGAGGAATTGTTGTTTTGCATTTGGCCTAAGGCCTTTTTTTTAATGAAATACGAATGAAAGCTGATGGGGATGGATAAGTTAAAATATTATATATTACGAATTTAGCAAATAACTTGGGAAAAGGTGATGAAGATTTACTTTTGAAAACTTGGCACGAGTAATTCGGTTAATAATCCGGTGGTTATCAGCTAGAAAAAGGAAAGGGAGGGTGTATAGTTGAATGCCAAACTTTACCGCACCAAAGTTGGCCAAGTTTAAGGGCCTGTTTGGATGGTTGCTGCACTTTGCCAAACTTTTGAGTCAAAAGTGTGGCATGTTGTAGTATTTGCAGTACCAAAATAGTTGGCCGTACTTGTGGCATATTTTGGCTAGGAGATGAATTTATGCCATGTGAGATATAAAAGAGGTAAAGTTTGGTACAACACAAGTGTAACATGTAACCAAACAACCACATCGAAAAGTTAATCTTGGTTAACTTTTAGGTGCGCTAAAGTTTGCCATTCAGCTGAACACCCTTTAACTTTTTGAGGTGATTGTTTAGTTACATGACACATTTGTGTTGTGCCAAATTTTACTACTTTTATACCTCACATGGCATAAACTCATCTTCTAGCCAAAATATACCATACTTTTGGCTCAAAAGTTTAACAAAGTGCAGCAACTATCAAAAAAGGCCCAGTACTCCGGTACTCCCTAGTCCCTACTTTGGCCTAGATGAGTAAGCAACGTGCTCTGCTAAGAAATAAGTTTGCACTGTCACGTTCTAAATCTTACCAAATTATTGCAAGCCAAAATCCAAACATATTTGGTAAAGCTGCTAACGTGCTTTCGGCTATCCCTACCAAAAACGAATGCCAAAATCTCCCCAACGAACCAAACGAAATATGTGATTACCAAATGTAGGTACTTAAAGAAAACGTGGACTCGAAATAAAACTAGGATGCAATCATGAGAAATTCTCCTAGCAATTTTGTGCAGAAACCATTTGAGGACATGTGCCCATTTTTAGGATCCCAGATCGCTGAACAAGTGGAGAAAAGTTCGAGAGATCAACATTTCCAGTTTCCACATTCGTCCTTCCGCTTACGCCGATCACAAACCATAACGGTTTACCAAGAACTTAAAAACAATTAAAAAAAGCTTTTACATATACATTATTAGCAATTTAAAAACAAATATTACAAAAATAAACTAAGGTAAAAAAAACCTTAAAAAAACTTAGAATTAAATCTAATGTTAATTTTAAAATCCTTAATACACCTTAAAATCACCTTCTTTTTCCTCTAAGGCCCCTTTCGACATAGCAACTGGTGAAGATTGAGTACAGGAACGCAAAATGAGAAAATCATTAGTGATGATTAATTAAGTTATACTAATTGTTTCAAACTTGAAAATAGATTTATATGATGTTTTAAATCAACTTTTACATACTTCCTCCGTCCCAAAATAAGTGCAGTTTTGCACTATTCATGTTCAACGTTTGACCGTCCGTCTTATTTGAAAAATTTTTATGATTAGTATTTTTATTGCTATTAGATGATAAAACATGAATAATACTTTATGTGTGACTAAATGTTTTTAATTTTTTCATAAATTTTTCAAATAAAACGGACGGTCAAACGTTGAACATGAATAGTGCAAAACTGCACTTATTTTGGGACGGAGGTAGTAGAAAGTTTCCGCGCGATATACAAATTAGTAGCGTAAAAAGCGTGCTAATAGAAACTAAAGATAAAATCCGTATTTTAATCCACCAATCCGAAATGATTAGAGACGCCAAAAGGCCCACTTTACTGTAGTGACCCACGAGTGCTCCATTTCCTTTCCTTCAGTGTCTCAGTCAGTGGATCACTGTGTCAGCACAGGCAGAGGCTTTGCTCTTGCTCCGGTCCAAGCCAAGGTGGGCGCCCCGCAAGATATCTTCTTCTTCCCCAAATCGAGGACCCGATTGCGGCAGCTCCGGTGGCCGGAGCAGCTCCCTGGTCGACGCGTCGCCGTCTCCGTCCCGGTCGCTGCCGGATTCCGCGCGCGTGGGCGTCCATCGGATGGCAATTGGCAAGCGCTAAGACAAATCCCTTGATTTTTTTTAATCCGTTGGACAGGCGGCAAGATGATTAATTAGCATGTTTGTTTGTGTCTTCGATGATATCTTTCCCTATTCAATTTTTGTTGTTGCAGGGTACCCGCGCTCGCCGTTTCATCCGGTGAGCATTTCGTCGAGCAGTTGGTAGGCGGGGGGAGTTCGGGGTTTCTTGATTCATGGGGAGGAGCTTTGCCGTTGATTTCCTGCGCTGAAGCAGTTCATCGTCCAGTTTCTTGGGCAATCGTTTCTAGGGAAGCAAATGAGATGTCTCTGCTGCTAGACGCGAGCTCTGTTCCTCGTTTTTACCATTCTCAGAACTTGACGATTGAGCATGGCAGATTAGGGTCGTAGAGAAAACGGTGTTCGTGTCAGCTTCTTGAGGTCAGAGAGCCAAGAAGCCATTTGGGTTTTTCTTGGTTCATGGAGGAAATGGGCTCTGCTCAGCTTTCTGCCCTAGCTGTGTGTGTCTGCATTTTCGGATGCCTAGCCATGGCTGATGGCCAGAACGTCACTGGAGGTGATGGTTCAAGGCCAGCTGAGCTGCGCATCGGTGCATTATTCACATTTGATTCGGTTATCGGTAGAGCAGTGATGCCGGCTATTGAGCTTGCTGTTGCAGATGTCAATGCCGATCCAGGTGTTCTTCCTGGGACAAAGTTGAGCGTTATAACGCAGGATACCAATTGCAGTGGCTTTCTTGGAACCATGGAAGGTTAGGGCTTCCTTCTTTTCCATCAATTTTTCTTTTATGGAATTGTCCTTACCAATTTAGTTGTAATTTACACATTATTCTCTCGCTTTCATTGTGCATTTGCAATTAGCATATTTCCCTTTTATCCTCTGAGCTGATTGCCTGAACTGCGAAATCACAGTTGAAAACCCCAATCAGTATTGTTTTTAAGTTTGTGGAGGTTTCCTGTCAGGATTCTTAATCTAATCCAGATTCAGTTTAACTTCAGGTTGCAAAGTCGTAGAGCCATGCTAAGGTAGCTCTACTTCCATGATATCATGGGATGTGTGCAAATTGAAGCCCTAATGAATATCTATGATCTATAAAGAATACCTAGAAATCAGAACTTTCCTGTCTTTATTTTTTCTTCACAGAACTTCGCTTTTGTTTATTCTCACTAAACGTAAGTTGTCATAAGTTATATTTATCTTGCACTGAAAGCTTGTATATATGAGATTAACAACGATTCTTCCTGTGCAGCGTTGGAGCTTCTGGCTAAGGATGTAGTCGCTGTATTAGGTCCACAATCTTCAAGCATTGCTCATGTCATTTCTCATGCTGTTAATGAGTTCCATGTTCCGCTTGTCTCCTTCGCGGCATCTGATCCTACCCTTTCTTCCCTTGAATATCCTTACTTTGTGAGGGCTACAACAAGTGATTATTTCCAAATGAGTGCTATAGCTAGCATCATCAATCAATATCGATGGAGAGAAGTCATTGCCATCTATGTTGATGACGACTATGGTAGAGGTGGCATCACAGCATTAGGTGATGCTCTAGCAAAAAAGAAGTCTAAGATAGCCTACAAAGCCAAATTGCCACCTGGTGCTTCAAGGACTACCATCGAGGATATGTTGATGCATGTGAATGAAATGCAGTCTCGCGTCTATGTTGTCCATGTAAACCCTGACTCTGGCCTGGCAGTTTTTGCTGCTGCAAAATCTTTGGGAATGATGAGTACTGGCTATGCATGGATAGCAACAGACTGGCTCTCTGCAGTGTTAGATTCATCTGATCATATTAGCACTGACAGAATGGAACTTACTCAGGGGGTTATTATGCTTCGGCAACATGTTTCTGATTCTGGCATTCAGCATTCGTTGGTTTCAAGATGGAACAATCTGACCAGGAATGGAGGTCATTCAAGCTTTAGTTCTTACAGTATGCGTACTTATGATTCTGTATGGTTAGTTGCTCGTGCTGTTGAAGATTTTTTGAGTGAGGGGAATGCGGTATCTTTTTCTGCTGATCCAAATTTGCAAGATATAAAAGGAAGTAACCTTCAGTTAGATTCCCTCAGAAGTTTGAACAATGGAGAAAGATTACTGGAGAAAGTTTGGCACACAAATTTCACAGGGGTTTCTGGCCTGGTACAATTTACTGCAGAACGAGATCTGATCCACCCAGCTTTTGATATCTTGAATATTGGTGGTACAGGTTTCAGAACCATTGGGTATTGGTCAAACATTTCTGATCTTTCAGTTGTTGCTCCAGAAAAGTTGCATTCAGAACCACTGGACTCTTCAACAAACAATATAGAGCTTCATGGTGTTATCTGGCCTGGTCAGACGTCTGAGAAACCTCGTGGCTGGGTGTTTCCATATCACGGGAAGCCGTTGAGGATTGGGGTTCCTCTCCGCACGAGCTACAAAGAGTTTGTGATGCCAGATAAAGGACCTGATGGAGTAAAGGGGTTTTCAGTTGATGTTTTCAAAGCTGCAGTAGGCTTGTTGCCCTACCCCGTTTCATTCGATTTTATTTTATTTGGAGATGGTTTGAAGAATCCCAGCTACAATGACCTTATTGAGAAGGTTTCTGACAACGTGAGGAACATCCCATATCATAAAATTCTAGATGTTATTGCAGTTTAGTGTCTTCACTTGTACTATATTTACTTATTTCTGTTTCTGTACCACTCAGCACTTTGACGCTGCAATAGGGGACATCGCTATTGTGACAAATAGAACAAGACTTGTTGATTTTACCCAGCCATATACAGAATCTGGACTTATTATTTTAGCTCCAGCAAGGGAGATTGAATCAAATGCCTGGGCTTTTCTAAAACCATTCACCTTCCAAATGTGGTCTGTTCTAGGTGTTCTCTTCCTTTTTGTGGGTGCAGTTGTTTGGGTACTTGAGCATCGTACTAATACTGAGTTTCGTGGACCCCCAAGGCAACAAATTATGACAGTATGCTGGTTAGTATCTGCCTCGTGACTCTTCTCTCTTTTTTTTCACTTCTTCAAGATTCAAAAGTTATTGTTTATTTGTTTATAATTTAATTTTGTTAGAGTTTTGTACCATTTCAGGTTTAGTTTTTCTACCATGTTTTTCGCGCACAGTAAGTGTAAACATGAAACTAGCCAAAAGTTTTTTTTTGGATCTCATAGTCCAGATTCATATCCTTCTATCTGTTGTTTTACACAGGAGAGAACACAGTTAGTGCACTTGGTAGATTTGTGCTGCTTGTCTGGCTGTTTGTTGTGCTCATTATAAACTCAAGCTACACGGCAAGCTTGACATCACTTCTTACAGTTCAGGAACTCACATCAGGGATACAGGGGCTCGATAGCTTGATATCGAGTCCAAGTTCAATTGGGTATCAAGTTGGATCTTTTGCGAGAAGCTACCTTGTACAGGAGCTCAATATTGCCGAGACCCGATTGGTACCACTAAACAGCCCGTCAGATTATGCAAGAGCGCTAGAGTTAGGATCAGGAAATGGTGGTGTTGATGCAATAATTGATGAACTTCCATACGTGGAGATCTTCTTGTCAAAATACTGCAAATTCAAGACGGTTGGCCAGGTTTTCACGAAAAGTGGGTGGGGATTTGTAAGTGACTTGGACTATAATTGTATACTAGAGATTTCGTTCCAGCCTTCCAGGATATCTTCTGAATATAGTTTATTCTGTTTCAGGCCTTCCCAAGAGACTCCCCTCTTGCTGAGGACTTGTCAACAGCAATCTTGACATTGTCGGAGAATGGCAATCTTCAAAGGATCCACGATGAATGGTTAACTGGGACAGAATGCAGTGCAGATGACAATGAGGTTGGCTCAAACCGTTTGAGCCTTTCAAGCTTCTGGGGCCTCTACCTCATCTGTGGCTTTTCATGTGTCCTTGCTCTCTTAATTTTCTTCTTGCGAATATGCTGTCAATACAGTAAGTACAATAACCAGGTTGGACTTGACTCTCCTGAACCAGAGATTGTAACTCGATCGGCAAGGTTAACTACTATCAAGTCAATAATCTCATTTGTGGATAAGAGGGAGGAGGAGGTGAAGAATGCTCTCAAGAAAAAGCCTAATGACAGTCTGCAGCCAAGGACAGGAAGCACAGGAGAACAATCTACATTACCACCATGACACATTTATCACTGCCTGACTGACATATTCAACAAAATGCATAATTTTGCACTGGGCTTGCTGGCAGCTTCAGAAACCCGGTGATGATTTGTTCTGGTTCTGAAGGTCAAACCTGTAGGAGCTCCTCAGAGTATTTTCTCTGAACTCTGAAGCATGACAGGAACATTCTGAATTGTGCCCAACAGTAACATGTCTGAATCTCCTTCCAACAGCTACTTCCAGGAGAAGTAGAGCATTGGTTGCAAGTTCAATTTCAAACTAGTTGAGAAGTTTGAACCTCTGTCAAGTTGAGAGGCCCCTTTTTTCGTTCGGAAGCAACCTCTGACAAGTTCTTGTAGCTACAATCTTAAGCATCTTCCAAATAAGTTGAGAAGTTTGAGTCTTTGTTTGGTGTGGAATTTGTCTGGTTGAGCATTTCCTTTCACTATTGCACTGTGCTGAAAAGGCAGTAACATATCTTCTCTTTTCAATTGGCTATGCAAGGAAACCTGTTTCAGTAGACAGTAGACTGGCAATCCTATGCTCCTAGCAGATGCAAAACTAGTGCCATCTTAATTAGCATTACTTCCCTTTAATTGCAGAATTGAGATCAACAGTTTTTCTTCTTTGGTTGCCAAATATATCCAAATCCTCAACCCTCATTCTGCTCTTAACAGCAACTTGATTCAGGTTACTTCTCTTTCAGAAAAGGAGTCGGCACCAACCCTTGATTGATTTGATTGCTTGTATTTCATAGAAAAATAGATTTTTCTATACAAGTTTCATCACCAACTAAGGTTAGGTCCCAACGTGTCTATACACTAGAGATCAAAATGTATACACTGCAAGATGTAGTCCAATGTAGAGTATACATTGTGATTATCTTGGCAACCACTACCTACAAGTGTTGGGAACTGATTGAATTCGGTTATTAAAAAAATCAACTGCATCCGTCCAGTTAAGAAATCAAATTGTAGCACCGGTTGCTAGATTTTTATCTTAGAGAAATTTTATTGCCCTTGGTAGTTACCGGGGTACTCCCTCTAGTAAAAAAAAAGTTTATGATAAGGTTCAGTCAAATTTTAAAATCCCAATAATCAATATAAGTTCATATTATTATGAGAAATATAATTTCTTTTTGACGCAGAACTACATATATCATTTCTTTCGTTTTCAAACTAAGTGTTTGAGAAATTATTGATGGTTAGGAATTTTAAAGGTTTGCATGAATCTTTCTCTAGGAGTAAAATATTTTTGACCAAAGGAAATAATATATTCTCTAACATAAAACTACCTTTTTACCAACTAGTTATACACACACAACAATGTGTCTATATATCATCCCACTTTCCTCTTGTTTTTTGACTTATCTTGCACGATAACATCATCAAAAATTACACGTGAAGGTTCGTTACTCCTACACGGCATGCAGGCGACAAAAGTATATATGGTCTAGTTGGTCACAAAAACCAATTCGTGAATCGTGATGAGGTGTGCTTAAGGCGATCCAAAGAAATCTTTTTCTTGTGCAAGGTGCGCAGCACACACTGGTCCAAACCTCTGAACAATAAATTATTAGGAGACAACTAAGTGGCAAAAGATTTATACTAGCGGCCGACCTTGTGAAAGTTGCAATGGGACACCAGCTTTAATTAGCTTTAATTTTTTTCTCTTGGCTTGATTTGGTTAATTTGCTTTGCTCCAAGTAGTGTGGCCCATTGCCGATTAAGCAATGAATAGGTGAAACCAAATTGCATTAGCAAACCCCCTTTTGTGGTGGCCATGCATGATCATCACTTGCTATCACGTAATGCTCATGCTGTTTCTTCTTGTTTGGATTATTGTTGCTGATAGGGTGCATGATGTGGTTTCTGATGTGAACAATAATCAGGGGCAATAAGAACAATGACTTAAAATCCTTACGAATATGTTCTTTGTGATCCACAATTTTATTATTATATGGTGTAACAAGGATTTTAGATTTGTAAGCTGTAAAATCTGTTTGATAAAATCAAATTTTGGCCAAAAAAAACAGATATCCAGATATTCCCGTAGGCAGTGTTTAAGCGTTTATTTCACCTGTTGATATACTTATATATTGACATGTTTGTACATATCTCCCGAGCAAATCGAACTATTTAGGGTCAGTTCGGTTCCTGCCTTACTACAATATAAATTAATTAGGAGAGTTAATTTTTTGTTTATTGAATAAAGCAAAGTGTGGACGTATCATGCCACCTTTTTGCCCATGTTATATACGCATGTGAGATTAACAATGGGCCAACTTGACATATATTTTCCCATTAAATCTTGTAATTACAAAAAAAAAAGATGGTATACAAATTAAGTGGCAAGCCACACGGTTGTAGCCATGATTAGTTTACATAAGCATAATTTTCATAGATAGCGGTGCTAAACATGATGGGCTATCAAAACATTGTGTATTTTTATGGTGGTTAATTCTTAATGCTGATAGATAGGATGAATCATTGGTTTGCACAGCAATCTATATATGTGTTGTGCATGATCTTGATAGGGGGCATGACTAGTTTCTTTATCCAATTGTCAGGACATAAATAGCGATGTGCTTCAAGGGAAGGCAAAGGAGAAAAAGGTAATCTTTTTTTGTGTTTGTGGTTTGTGATCCCACTTGTGTATACTTTTGCTCCTCTTTAGGTAGTGGTAGGGCTGTCAAGCAAGTTAATTAAGTATTTCTGAAAAGTGGAAGATACCATTCAAGTTTGTTAATTTGTTCTTGTTGGTTATCATCAGTTTATACTTAATAGATTAAAATACTGCAGCCCATGGTTAGTGCATTATAGTTATGCATGCATGCTGCTCCTGAAAGAGACTTGAAGAAAAAAGAGAGGATCAGGAAATTTATTTGTTTTTAATCCTTAAAACTTGACTTCTGACCATATCAAATATGCATCGTGATATATAGCTGGTCATTTCTTGTTTCAATATTTGTAGGGAGGATATAGAAATTAAATATCAGCTCAACTGAATCATTCAGCCATGCATAAAGAAACTTGTTGGTATAGCTATTGGTTTCTTGCAGTCTTCATAATTTAATGAACTGATTTTTTTTCAGTTTAATGTGGTGCCATCCTATTGATCAATAGTATCCATCTCATGAAGCCTACAGACACTAACTGCCTAACTGTCTAAGTAGGCAAGAATAGAACAAGTCGTCCACACTTGTCTGCATCCTTTTTCTCCATCTTTCTTTTTTTTGATATCTGGTGGTTGCAACATCAATTACTACTCATCACATAAAACCAAACCCTACAAGATTTTTAACATGAGTCCTGCAAGAAAACAAAAGATTTTTCAAGCCAATCAAGAAACAAATTCTTTCAGACAGGGTGGTAGGTGTGGACATTCAGATCTTGATTGAGTGTACACCTTAATTGCACCTGTCCTAAAACTGTTTAATCCTTCTTGTTTACCTTATCACACAGAGCAGTACTGCAGTACTAGTCCAAAACAAAGGGCATCAATGCTTTGTCCTTAGAAGCATATTTTTTATGAATCAGTAAAGGGAACTAATTAAAGATGTAATCCTTCCCTAGTCTTGATCAAAGATCTTATTCTTTGTGATTGATTGACAGGGTCATTCCACCTAAATTTTAACAGAATTAATCGAATCATTCATACAGGTCGGTTGCGTTAATATTCTAGGCTTCATTAGAAGGATATTATTGATCAATAGGATGGAACCATATTAAAACTAGAAAAACTAGATCCTTGGTTTAGAAGACTGAAAGAGAACAACATATGGCTTTTTTATATACATAGCTAATTTAGTAAGATTAATTGAAAACGCAAAAGGTCGTCAGAAATTTGACTTGAGGGGATATTAAATTTGGGAGATTAGCGAAGCTTAACTTCATTTGTCAATGTGCGTACATAACTGAAGCAGATATGTCAACCAAAGAGATGGAAAAGTCCAGCAGGATCGAGCAATCAATTTTCAGGTTTAATGGATTATATATTCAGGACATTTTCGTGAGATAGGCGCCAGTTTTGGGGTCTATTTATATATATATATATATGGTTTCATACATTTCCACTAAATAAGTTAGGTACGGCATTGTTATTTCTCCGAAATAGGCTCTTTCAAAATAGAGCAATTTTACGGTCCTTAAGAAGGTACCATGAGGTACCACTTTTTTCTATTGTAAATTTGGTACCTCTTGATATCTATGTACTATTAGGTACCAAATTTTACACTGAATTTTTTTTTGTACCTTATGGTACCTCCTGAAGGACCGTAGAATTGCTCATGGTCCTCATTGCTCCCATGTTACCTATTTAAAGAAAGTTAATTTTTGTTAGAAAAATAAGTTATTCTAACCCAAACATGGAATAAACTTTACAGTTCATATTTTTTTCCAAAAAAAATACATGTGAAAATATTCAAACTTGGGTAAAATAAAACCAAACCAAATATACCATTAGAACTGTAGTTAAATAAACTTAAATTACAAATTAAGCACCATGGTTTTAGGCTTGACATTGTGTAGTTTTTGGTGAATGAAAATCTACAAACCTTTCAAGCACCTGAAATACAACAAAATCCCTGAAGAAATAGTTGCAAGAGTTTCCATTTGGAAGAGCCTTGATCGATCCCTCCTACCCACGCACACATCACAGGTCCACAAGACCACAACATACACGGTTTGCGTTATGCCCTGTGCGGCAATGTCACTGTGCGATTAGCTGGACTGATCACGTCTCCCAATAATAAGCCGTACGCCGGCTCTGGCCTAACCAGAACCACACTAGAACAGGATTAGCAACTTTAGCATGCAGCAGCTGCCAATTTGCCACTGACGCCTCTCCCGTCCATCTTTTTCCCCGTGTACCACTTCTCCGTCCGTATGCATGCGCGACCATCTCCAGACTCCACAGCTCACGAGATGCCTGCCTTTTGCTCCCTGCAGCTGCAGCTGCAGGCCACAATAGCCCAAGAGTGACACCACCACATGACCGCAACAACAATTGCCGCCTCGCCTGCGAAAGCCACCAAGAGCTAGTAGCGATAAAACAGCACAAGCTTACCATGTCATGCCACCGCGTAATCCGTGTACACGTACGTTGTAGTAAGAGCAAGTTTAATAGTATAGCTCCACTACTAGCTCCAAATCATCTATAACCAATGTAATAGTCAATTCATACCATAGTTGCTTGCTATACTATTAATATCTGGTCCCACCTGTCATACACACGTTACGTCTTGAAGTTCGTGCTGCAGCTGGCTACAAATCTAATATATTTATAGCTGACTTATAGCCTGCTATTGTACGTGCTCTAATAGCTTAACCGAGAAATGTGGCGCCGATCTATCGCCAGAGAGACCCAAGGCGAAATTAAACGTAACAGCGACGACGCGCCCTGAAACTGAAAGTACGTACGTTGCGTTCCAAGATGCATTTTGCCATGGTCGATCGGAATTTCTTCTCCTTAATTTTGGCTGTGCCTGTCTGTCTCAGCCTCAGGGGGACGCTCAAAAAGGTCACACGGTTTTCTTTTTCCCTTTTTTTTTTCGTTTTGTTTTTTGTTTTCTGGGGGAAGATAAAAAAAATGGATGGAATCTTCGGCTAAGGGAAGTTGGTGGGTA